TGACCTTATGACATCCTGCGACTTTCAAAGGCCTCCGACATCTGCTGTAGCTCTGGCACTGTGGCAAAGTTGCAAAAAAGTGACTTGAGGTTGGGTCATTCAAAGTGACCTGGTGACCTGACCTTAACCCGCGCCAAAGTGTGGGGGGTGTTTGAACACCCCCCCCCTCCGGTTTTTCGCAGATATCTCATAAACGGCGGCGCGGAGCGCCGCCGTTTTTGGTACACCTTATCATACATCAATTTTACACATGTTGTGAAAATTTCAGACCAAGGTCATTCAAGGTCAGGTCACCAGGTCACTTGAAGTGACCTCACCTCATAAACAGTTTCAATGTCTGCCATAGCTACACCGAGTGACTGATCACTTTGAAACTTTCAGCGATTGATGAGAGTAACAGTATCTATAAAATGTATATCTCGGAATTTTAATATCGATGACCTAAGGTCAGGTCAATTTTGCGGCCTCTCCATTATAAGTCAATGGGAGAAAATTGAAAAGCGTCTGTTTTGCACGAACGCTATTCTAGACACTCTCAAACATCGAGATGTAGGTAAAATTGACACACTGAACCGGAAAATGGCAACTGTGACCCCTCGTTATGTCCCCGAGGTCATCTCAGGTCACGAACAGAATCTAACAGTTTTTCGCTTATAACTTCTGATAGAGGCGTGCTAGAGCGTTGAAAATGCCTTAGACGTGTTCGGCTCGACGTTGCAGATCGACTGATATGCAACATGACCTTTTCCGGTCAGGTCATGACCTTGACCTGAGGTCAAATTTTCAAGTTGACCTTTCAAGGTCAACTTATAGTTCATTCGACGCGTCTCGACGAGAGGAACACGATGCTGGCAAAAGTAATGTCATGGCTCTTTTGAGTCAAAAGTTATCTTCGAAAAACCAATTTTCGTAAAAACGGCTATTTTTGGAGTTTTTGCCCTCTGGAGGCTAAACCGTTGACCTGAGGTCAAATCTGAGACCATTATTCAGAAAGGTCTGTAAAAGGGCTATCGAATGCGTATTTCCGCAGCGCTGTAGCTCTATCGGTTCCCGAGATAGCCGTTGGCAGTTTCCAAAATGTTGAAATAGTCAACATTTTACCTTTGGTGACCTCTGGTGACCTGACCTTTGACCTGACCCAAAAAATGACCGAAGTGTTTTCGTCCTTATTTTTGGACTTTCTTTCGATTGCCGCTTACTGCGTGTCGCTACGTGGCCCAGGAGCCGAGTTAGAAGGGGGGTGTTCAAACACCCCCCACACCAGGTCGTGGAAAATCCAGACTGACACTGGGGCGCGGGTTAAAAGGTAGGAGGTTCAAACTTGCACACCATGTGTAAAATTGATGAAAATAGTCGTACCAAATTTCGCGGCGCTACGCGCTGCGGTTTTCCCGCTATTTGCAAAAAAACCTCAGGGGCGGCTATCCGTCCCCCCCCCGTCGGAGCGCGGGCTAAAATTGGGTATCAATCTCTGCGTCTCGTAACGACGCACACGCTCTTTTTTCCCGGGCTACGCGCTAGCTAGCTCCACCAGGGACGAAACGGCGAGGGGGGATCGTACCCCCCCCCCTTCCTCGGCCGGCGCGTATGTAGAAAACCAATAGATCCGGCGAGGGTTAAAGAGACGAATCGGCTGGTGTAACTTGGGAAAGTTTTTTACACGTGCGGTCACCTAACATGACCAGGTTGTCTGATTTGGAGGATCATAAGCCAAAGTTTTAGAGCATTTGAATAAAGTTAATAAGCGTTACAAGGTGTGCCAAATATCCGCACACAACAATATGACGAGGTTTCCAAACCCCACTCTCACACACACACACTGTTAGGGTATGATTTTTTTCGAAAATGAAGTGGTTTTTAGTTATATATTATTTATAACTTATATTATATTATAATATTCCGGGTCGACTAGCGAAAAGCAAACATACCTGTGCGTGCGTTGTGCTGAGCCTGTGTGTATCTCTGAGTCGGAGGAATCGCTGAGTGGATGTGCTCGGAGCTGCGATCTGTAGGTAGCTGTGTCTGTGGGCCTATGTGTGCGCCTCTCTCGCTCGGAAACCGCCCCGGATCGGCATCAGCCCGGTCATTGTCCGAGCGGGCCGATGTACTTGCACAGGTGACGCTTTCACACGGAACAGAGCATATGCCTATCGTCTATGTACACTACAGGCAGCTTTTGACGGGCTCATTTTAAATATCCGCACAGTGTTCTTTTAGGAAAATAGTGGACCGTTCAACCGGGAAGTATTAACAAATAACGCCGACGACCTTAATGAAGTAATTAATGACGTCAATATAATCCAACTTGAAACCTTGCAAGGAGTGAATACAATCACGCTGCCATGTGCTTGAGATTGTCTTAGGGCATTGAGGTACGTGACCTCACCCCTATAAGTCAACGGAGAAAATGTGGAAACATGGAAACTATTATGGATACTATTAACCCGCGCCGGCCCGGTCCTGTTCCGCAGGTCCTGTTGAGGGGAGGGGGCAAAGGTCCCCCCGTCGTATCTCCGGAACCAATAGTCGGATCGAAAAATCCAAAAGGCATTCGCAATTACTCATCAAGCTGCACAAGAAGCGGTATCGTTAACCTCTTTTTTTGACCTGTGACGTCATATGGAGGTCAAAAAGGTCAAATCTGTCCAATTCACAGTGATGGGCGGTCGGTTCTAAAAAAGAAATAGAAGTTTCTAAAATGAGCCCGGATGCGATATATATCATAGATCTGACACGTGGATAGTCATCTGAATGGATGATGACCGGTGACGTCACAAGAGAAGTCAGCCTCGACCAATCAAAAGACACATGAGGGCTATATGCATTATTGTGCCTAAGTAGTTCATACATATTAACCCGCGCCCTGCTGGGGGTCCTGGATTTCCACGCCCTGCTGGGGGGGGGGGGGGTGTTTGAACACCCCCCCTTGTAACTCGGCTCCTGGGCCACGTAGCGATACGCAGAAGGCGGCGTTCGAAAGAGCGTCAAAAATAATGACGAAATCACTTCGGTCAATTTTTTGGTCAGGTCAAAGGTCAGGTCACCAGAGGTCATAGAAGGCAAAATTTCGCCGATTTCCAGGTCGAATGTCGAAAATTTCCAAGAAGCCAACGCATAACTCGGGAACCAATAGAGCTACAGCGCCGCGGAAAAGCGCATTCGATAGCCCTATTAACCCCCTTTCTGAATAATTCTCTCAGATTTGACCTAACGTCAACGGTTTTGCCTGCAGGGGGCAAAAACTGCAAAAATAGCCGATTTTTTCGGAAATAGTTTTTCTGCAATAACTTTTGACCCAAGCCTTGTACGAGCTTACTTTTACCGGCATCGTGTTCCTCTCGTCAAGACGCATCGAATGAACTATAACTTGACCTTGAAAGGTCAACTTGAAAATTTGACCTCAGGTCAAGGTCATGACCTGACCGGAAAGGGTCATGTTGCATATCAGTCGATCCGTATCGTCGAGCTGAACACATCTAAGGCGTTTTCATCGCTCTAGCATGCCTCTATCAAAAGTTATTTGCGAAAAACTGTTAGATACCATTCGTGACCTAAGATGACCTCAGGGCATAAACAAGGGTCACGGACACCATTTTCATGTTCTGTGTGTCTAAACCACTTGTAATTCGGTGTTTGGGAGTGTTTATAATGTCTTTCGTCCAAAAGAGGCGCATTTCAATTTTCTCCCATTGACTTATAATGGGGAGGTCGCAAAATTGACCTGACCTTAGGTCATCGATATCAAAATTCTGAGATATACATTTTGTACATGCTATTGCTCTTAGCAATCGCTGAAAGTTTCAAAGCGATCGGTCACTCGGTGTAGCTATGACAGACATTGAAACTTTTTATGAGGTGAGGTCACTTCAAGTGACCTGGTGACCTGACCTTGAATGACCTTGGTCTGAAATTTTCGCAACATGTGTAGAATTGATGTATGATAAGGTGTACCAAAAACGGCGGCGCTCCGCGCCGCCGTTTTTTAGATATTCGCGAAAAACCACAAGGGGGGTGTTCAAACACCCCCCAGCAGGGCGCGGGTTAAGCCACAAAAACGTACTTGGTCATTTTCTTTTGTCTTATGACGTCACATACAGGTAGAAAAAGTTAATTGTAGTTGTAACGATTTTCATTGGCAAACATTGTATTGGGTAAAAATAAATTGTGTTATGTAAAAGAGACGTTAGCGGTCATATTTAGTGAGGAAGAGATGAATATGTGCCATATATAGTCCCCGAAGATATAGTTGGAAGAACAAATGCTGAACATATTGTGACGTCATAAGAATAGTCCCTGTATTTTTAGCCTTTTAAAGGGTTATATCTCTGGGAGTTTTAGATATATTGTCTTGATTATCGGCATGCACAAGGGCAGTCAGGTGCTCTCTGAAATAGGTATGTTCTGTTTTTGAAATATTCTTCAATTTTCAAAATATCTCAAGAAATATACATTTTCAGTTGGATCATCAAGATCATGAGAATAATAAAGTTTGGGAATTTCGAAATAGACATTTTGTTTGCCATGCATTATTGTGCCTACGGTTTAGTTTTTGACTCTCTATGTTGATAATGTAATTGTCTGCGATTTTTTTCCATGAGTAGCTTTTTCGACCAAAAATTGCCGACCATGACCTTGACCTCTACTATAAGTCATGATCCAAGATGATCTAGGGCCCATTATTTTCAATAATTGTGGCAAATTGATATCCGGAGAGGTACTAAAAACGGCGAGTCAAAATCCGCCGCCGTTTGTAGTAACATACGAAAAAGCACACGGGGTCCCTGCCCCCCCCCCCCCCAACCGGTTCCGGGTTATCGAACGAAATTCACATTGCAGCACTAATGAAGCGCATTTGATTGTGGGGAAATAAATGCTTCGCTTCTATTTGCGATGCACCAATATAGTCATAGATACTACAAAGCATAGGTTGAGAACTGTGAGGCGTGAGTGTTGACAGTGATATCGTGATTGTAAGACATGGTGTTCGTCTTCAGTGCCGATCGCAGGCAGTTCCAGCGTTCAATCTCAGTCCGATGGTGAGGGTGCTTGGATCCCCTGGTGGCGGCCGGCCAGCTCCGACCCTAGTGCCGGCACGCAGCGCCCCCAAATGCAGCATGTCATCCAGCCCAGCGCAAATCTGAACGGTAAGATGCTATGTAATCGTTACACCCCGGTTTGAAATTCTTCCTTTCCAGTCATATCGCATTTTCTCCGTCGGGCTCAAAGCATGCGTTACATAAGGTCAGCCTCAGCATCAAGTGTTGCCAGTTGTAGTGTATCCTTGGACTGCCGGCCCACTCTGCAGGCGTCTGTGGACATTTGCTGCTTGGCATATTTCTGGTTACTGCCAGTGCGACTTGCTCCAATGAGTGGCTATGTCTGTTCTCAGCAGGTGACCTGGACTGCATGACCGACCTCGGTCTGGCCGATGGCACTATTCCCGACCAGAACATCACGTGAGTTGGCGTACCTACTTGCCTATCGGGGTTTATCAGATGCGTGATTTTTTTTAGGTGCAATTTAGAGTTCTAACTTAGTTTTGTTGTCACCGGGACTGAGTGAGATCGCCTATTTTCTAAAACTGTTCATTTTTGCTCTGTACGTACTTCTGTGGTTTTGTTTATTTCTCTCGTTGCCTTGAGTTAATACGGTGGACTGCGACCCCAGTGGAATTGTTGTTAAGGGCGTTATCCCAGTGACTGCACTCAGAAAACACTTTGAGAACATTTTTGAATAAAGACTCAATTGAGTGCTGAAACATGCCTGAAATGTGTGTGATTTTAAAAACGGTTTCAGTAAGGCTTCCTTTTAAGGCTCATGTACTTTAAGCCCGAATACTGGATTCAAGTGAGACCGAAATTGGGGATCGGGCTGAAAACTGGTTTCATAGTGAGACTGATTTTAAAAGCTTGACACCGATTATGGGTACTGACTGAGATCTGTTTCTGCGATCAATGGCGTTGCTCAGAAAGTATTCTCAAAATGTGTCGTCTGTTTTGAATAGGGGACATTAGCCCGAAAACTGGTCTCTGAGACCGAATATGGAAAAACTACTTTCTCAGTGTGGGTGACTTTATGCTCGATTTACGGTGCCCTCCCCCTCCCCCACGCACCCTAGGGAGAAACACTGGAAGACGAGCAGGATCTCTCCTGGAAATGGATGTTATTTGTATTTGGCGACCAGTAATACATACCCAATCGTATGTACGTACATACATGCACTACACTGTATTTGACTGTAGTCACTACAGCCTGGCGGCCGCCGCGCTCTCAACAGCACTTGGAGGCCCCATGGGTCAGGTCAGGCCGCCACCGCCGCGACCCGGCGGACGGCCGCCCCCCCCCCCCCCCCCCCCGGGTTTGCCTTCTTGGCAGGGGCCGTGCTGGTGGAGGGCGGCGGATAGCCGGATACCGTCGGATACAGTGTGCGATGCCTGTTTACATGCAACTAGTCACCGCAGGGTGTAATAAGCCCTCTGGAGATGAACACATCGGGGTCCGTCACAGTGGGACCCAAACTCAATCTCGTTCCCTCGTCCATCGTGTAACATTGGTGCACCTTTTCTCGGCGGGCAGCGGGTGGCCCAATGTGAGCTTCTCCGGGGCTCCCGAGTACAGCTCGCCGTCTGGAGCTCGGCTCAATGCGGCCTCGGCCTGGTGCGTCAACGCCTCCAGCTTCCCGGAGCAGGACGCCACGCTGACGATCGACCTGGGCTCCAGCCGCCTGATCTCAGGTCAGTCAACACCAAATACAAACGCGCAGTTCGTACCACCTCAGCAAATACAAGCGCACAGTACAGAGCAGCGCCCGGCGGCTGCTCTTCTGACGGTTCTGTCCTCTTTACCTAGTTGCATGCGGTCGCGAAGTATGCGGCTTGTAACCGATTTAAAATTAACGGATATCTGACACGCAGTCTTCGTTGACACTGCTGTGTGTTCACACATTTCACATTTTAATAAACTGTAGCCTTACACAGAGGAAACTGGGGCACGGGTGTTCCCAGTGCAGCGAACTGAGTGGCCGGGCTGAATTATACAGGTGGCCGCCGCTCCGTTAGTGGCGGCGCGCGGTGACACCGGCCCGGCCCGGCCCGACCGGCACCGGTCCTACACCACAGTCCCCGTGCAGCCAGTGGTCGTTCATTCGAATGATGCCCTGCTCCTGTGGTCAGTTTTCACTGTCGGCAACACCATCCTGGACCACTCCATTAAAGGGACACTCCCACCTTCAAAAGAGGTAATGAATTGGCATAAAAGCTATGTTCCGAGGTTCAGAAAGATAAAAATGTATATCTACCAAATTTCACCGAAAAATATGCACTGACTATATTCAATGGCGTAACGTGTTTAGAAGTTATTGGCGAAAAACGGGAGGGGGTAGATTCTGCCCCCCCCCCCAGCGGGGCGCGGATTAAACATGTCGCAATGCAATAATTATATCCGAAGATACTACTCACCATGAATTAACCCGCGCCCCGTTAAGGTCTGGCAGGTTCGACGTCCTGTGGGGGGGGGGGGGGCAAAGGGCACCCCGTCGTATCTTCAAAAGCAATACCTAGTCGGATCGAAAAAAAATCAAACGGCATTCCAAAGAGCTCATCGAGATGCACAAGATAGCATGTTGATGACCTTGATAATTGGCCTTTGACGTCACAGGGAGGTTAAACAAGGTCAATTCAGTCCAATTTACAATGACGAGAAGTCGGTCAAAAAAATGAAACCTAGGTTTCCAAAATTAGTCTGAATATGACGTATATGATAGACCTGGCATGTGGATAGTCACCTGAATGGATGTTGACCTGTTACGTCACAGAAAACACTTACGTGAATGGTAAGGAAAGGCATGTTAAATTGTGAATAATCGAGTCTTTATGAAGACATGTCATATATATGCAACCACAGAAACCTCCTTGACCATTTATCTTGGACCTATGACGTCACAGGAAGGTCAAATGAGGTTAAGTTGTGAAATTCGCAGCCGTTTCTGAGTTATCTGCGAGAAACCAGAGGAGGGCCCTTTGCCCCCTCCCCAACGGGTCGCGGGTTAACCCTCGCCCCGTAGGGCTATTGGCGGACCCTGCCACCCGTAGGGGGGGGGGGGCGTGTCAGCACCCCCCTAATATCTCGGAAAATTACCAACCGATTTTCAATATTCAAACAACGTTTGAAAGCCCCAACGAGGAACTACCTGGTGACCAAGTTTCTTTGACCTATGTCGAACCGATGACGTCACAGGTCAGGTCAAAGGTCGAACTTTTCACCGTTTACAGACCTTCTAAGAAATGCGTTATAAAATCGTGTAAAAGAATAATAATATTTCGAAAGAATAAAAGAATAATAAAATTTCGTAAATATCGTGTAAAAGGCATGTTATCGAAAATCATCGACAGGGCGTTGGTTGACTAATCAATGTTGCTAAATGAGGTCGCTGATACCAGGTCACTAAGGGTCACAGCGGACGTTTTCACGACGGAACTTTCTCGGTGGAACCTATTTCATACCTGGAAAGTACCAACCCTTAAACCCGCGCCCCACTGGGGGGGGGGCTATTCATAGCCCCGCCCCACTGGGGGGGGGGGGGGCTATTCATAGCCCCCTCCCGTTCTTCTGCAATAACTTCCAAATCGCTTGACGTATCGACGCCAAACTTTCAGTACCTTCGGCTGCATCAATATGACACCTTGTGTTAAAATATGAACTTCGTAGCTACCATAGGTCGGCCGGAAATGACGTCAGAGTGACGTCATGTTCGGCCGATTTCGACGCAAAACATTGAACCACGGCAATAGCTCTCAAGAGCTCAGTTTTTAAGCTAGATCCAATTTCTTTGCATGAAAGGACTCAGAATAGACTGGGCTATCAAACTGCTATCTCGGATTCTCAAAATTTTGAAAACTTCGAGGAAAAATTATAACAAAATTCAAAATTTAAATTAAAAAAAAAGTTTTTGACTTTTCGAAAAAAAAACGGAATGCATGTGATAGAACGCATGCTTTTGACTAAGTGCAGCAATTTTTAGCTAAATATCTTCAAAGATGGCCAAGTTATACGCATTATTGCAAAAAATTCACAATTTTTAATTTTTCAAATCAATTTTTCAGTACGTATTTGACATCGTACACAAATATAAATAGCACCATCGTGTTTCTGAGCTCAAACTGCATTCAATATGCACCTTTTTTGTTGAAAAAAAAATAACTTCAAAACGTGACCTTTTTGACCGGAAAGTGAACTGCCCTAAGCTAAATTCGACTCAAAATTACCTCGCATGACACAGACGACATCAAATTCGAAATCTATGGCCTAAATGGACCATAGAACATGTGTCACGTGACCGACGCATGATATAATATTTCCGTGACCTGTGATGAACTGACCCTGACTTGAAAATCACCTGACCTGTGACGTCATCGGTGACCTCGAGGTCACTAAAATTTGGTTTCGTTCGACAGTTTTTCCGGGGCTATCAGACGCCGTTTGAATTTTGACGATCGGCCCAGTAGTTTCGGAGTTAGGAGGGGGGCTATGGAGAACCCCCCCCCCAGTAGGGCGTGTTATACGCAGACCCCAGTGGGGCGCGGGCTAAGGCTTTAGAGTCCTTACAATTGAGGTCTTCTGCCTTCAAAATATTTTTAAAAGTTGTAATCCAGACGATTTTGACCATCATATCGCTTATTTATTTAAAAACAAATCAATTGTTGGTTCTAGTAGTCCATCTTTCAACTATGAGGGATCAAGTCAGCCTGGCAACTAGGGGAAGTTGGGGGAACGCCGAAGACTTTTTTCTGACGCCCGTAGCACGCAAGGTAGACAACATACGCTATTCTTGTTGGCGTCATTCGAGAGGCCAGTCTTTTGCCTTTCAAACATACCAGGCGCATTTGATGAATTCGCATACCGTTAAGCGCACAAACTAAAAATATCAAAGAAGTGACTTTTTCGGCGTTGCCCCGGACTGCGGGGAAAGCCGAAAATGGGAGAAATGATCTACGGGGAATGCCGACATTGATGTTTTGCCATTTTATCTCAAACTTTATCCAGAATTCATCAAAGCTGACACACGTTTCAAGAGCTTGAGGACGCGGTGCACACTGGAAGTTATAATTGTGTGATATAATAAGAAAATGCCAGGTAAATCATTACTTATAGGTAACAGGCCGTTGTGTCGGTTGAAAGTGTAATTTGTGTGACTAAAAATACGCGTTGCTATTCTACAGCAGTAAAGTCCACGTAGCGTGCTTTTAACACGTGCGTAATCGCACGTTTTCGGCATTACCCCAGCCAGCCATACTTTCATTTGCAGGCCAATAACTTTTCAACGTGCTGTATAAATTTCAAATAGGCAGCACACTTATGCAAAGACATGCTAAAGATTACTTGACCGAATTGGCCAGACAAACGGTAGCATAATGAGTAAAAAATGCAGCTTCAAAGGCGCATGTAGTACAAGGGAAACGTACCTTGAAAACGCTCTTGGCGCCCTCACAGTCGAAGTATTCCGAATGACGACTCGTAACAAACATGCGATAATTGTAGTCACTTAAGCTTCAGAGCATCACTGACAGGTGGCATCCATGTCTTACGGTTTTCGAAATATCCCGAATTTCGGCTTTGCCCCAACTCCGGCATTGCCCCAACTTCCCCTACTATGCATTCCAGACCCCATGAGACCCTGTTTTTCGGCGATAATTTTTTCAATTTTTGTCCAATTAGCTTGAAATTTTGGCAGACTATGTTTCAGCTCAAGCGCCAATTTTTGTCAATATGGTCTCTTAACAAAATATCAAAATTTAGAGCACTTGTCGTTGGCTCGTAATGTTAATCAGTTTTTGCACCCGGATAGAGGCTCGCTCGCTACCGCACCGGATTGGATAGGAGCGCTGGCCAATCACGTTACGCCGCGCTCAACTTGACTCCGCCCACTGGCCGTGATCGCGATGGGTCTATGCCGTTTCAGTCGGCGTCAGCACCGCGGGGAGGTCGCAGCGGGACCACATGATGGAGACAAGTGAAACTGGCAAAGTTGTTTCGGGACGAAAGCCAAAAAATTATCCGTTCGGGAGCGGGACCACATGATGGAGACAAGTGAAACTGGCAAAGTTGTTTCGGGACGAAAGCCAAAAAATTATCCGTTCGAGGGCATTTGGTGTCCTCTTCTCCTTATTTTGGTATTTAAACGTCGAACCAGCTCAGAATATTCAGAATGATCAGAACCAAGGTAGGATCTATTGGAACGGAGCCGGCCGTAGAAGGAAAGATAGATGGACTCTTGGACTCTGAACATTTATTTAAGCCGGAGTTGCACCTATCTCATCGTCAGGTTGGGTCAGGTCACTTATCACTACCCGATTACCTGTAAGATCATGCGTAAGCCTCTGCATGACCCAAAAATATTGATAGGTATACCGGGTGGCCCAGAAAAAACGTTCCGAACTTTGGAGGCCTATATATCAAATACAAGTACAAATAACGAGCCAAAATTTTCATCAAGTTTGCGTCATTTCTTTGCGCATTGGTATGCCAAATTATAACATTATACCATCATTTTCAAGCTGGCAATCTTGAGCTGAATTAAGCAAGACGTTTTTGCTTTTTTTGCCGATGTCAAACGATAGTGATGATTGGGTTAGACGTCCCATGTTATAAAAAAAAAAAATAGATCACGTGAATGAAACCAACACGTATGTTTTTATTTTAAATATTTTTGTCTCACTTATGGACCAAATATTCAAATACTGAGCCAAAATGGTGCTCATGGATGTCATTCGTTTCAACACCAAATCATGTTTCGAGCAGGAGTGGCACGGTGCATGGATTACTGCTGATTACCCTCCTTTCAGTAGATCAAACAGTAAATCGACCGGATAAGGAAAACAAACTAAAGCAGACTAGTTCCTGTGCCAGAAGACCACAGAATAGCTTATGGAAAACAACATTGCCAGCAGATGACAAAAAAAAAAAACTGGTAGAAAAGCTACCTTTTCCCAGGAATGTCAGCCAGGAAAGCATTTGAGCCACAAGATGGTTAGAAAACTGGAAACTTCTTCCGATGCCGCTGGCACAGAGCCATCGTGGTTGCCTGAGGAAATGTGTCATCCTGAGACCCGAACCATCAATGAGACTAGCTGCCAGTAGAAGTCATGGCTCTAGGCCGCGGTGCCGCGGGGTGAAAGTGACTCGTTCACTCACATTTTGTAGTAAACATCGGAGCAAAAAAGTAATTTTTACATGGCATGCTTGAAACACGAACCGTTTAAATAGTTATTTACCGAACACCATGAAAATCACACCATTTACTGAAAATGTGTGCCGTATTGACTATTCGAAGTTTCAATGTTGTATCTTTTTCACTTTCTGAGAAATATTGATTTAAAGTTAGGAACGTTTTTTTCTGGGCCACTATTTGGCAGCGTCAATAAATGTTTCTGAGGAAGGCGCGGAAAGCAACAAGGTAGGATGAAGAGTTTCGGGCACGGCCGATTGCCTGGGGCATCGCTCCAGCGAGACGACCGTATTCGTGATTCGTGAAGCGGTGCGGGGCACCGGGTGGGGCAGAAGCGAATGTGTCGTATGGCAGAAATGACCTTTATCGCGGTGTCATGTGTGTGTTATATTGTTAAGACGTGCACAAAAAGAAATAGGAATGTGGCAGACGGACGTTGTGCACTACAAGAGAGTTGTGCACTACAAGAGAACGATCATCAAGAAACACGTATCTTTTTGTAAAACTTATGTAACAGTAGGTATGTCCTCAATGGTGAAGTAACCATCTCTAGGCTTTTACTTTTCATGTTTGCATTTCAACACATAAGATCTGGGGGTAAAGTTAGTCCGGCGCCCTCCTCAACCTAAGTCGATGACAAAATGGATTACTCCTGAAGGTGTTCAATGCTTATGTTGCACCGGGATGATATAAATCGATCACGCCGGCATACATTCCTAATCAACTTTCATATATCAAACACATAAATTGCATCCTATTAATGGTGATTCTATTTTGCAATTTGGACGTAGTTTGACGCGATATATAATTTTACGCAATCATTTGAAATCAACAGCGTCTTTTATGTGCGTTTTTTTCACAAGCCCCGAATCTTGTGTGGAAATATATATTTTGTTGTGACTGAACAAGGTGTACGTACATTTGTGATAAATACAAAGTCGAGGGCTTCAGCTAGTGCGTTACTTATGCGCGCTATTTAGCTCATTCGATGAAGTTACGACTGCAACGACAACTGCACGGCAGCTACGTTCCATGCGAGCCGCCCCGGTGCGACAGCTACTGCCCCGCCCGCTCCACGCAGCCGACTGACCGGCCAAGGTCACCGCCCCGTCCGCCGGGAGGGCGGAGCTTAATGGTCACGTGTTTGTGACGTCACGCCTACGCACGGATAGCCTCTACTCCACTGACGGATTTACGGAGCCGATTTTAACATTACGAGGCAACGACAAGTACCCTAAAATTTGATATTTTGTTAAGAGACCATATTGACAAAAATTGGCGCTTGAGCTGAAATGTGCATTGTGAAAATTTGAAGCAAATTGGACAAATATTAAACAAATTATCGCCGAAAAACAGGGTCTCATGGGGTCTGAAATGCATAGTAGATACCCGGCTTCTGTTTCACCGGCCCGACGCTGCGTGCGCCCTGGTGGTGCCCGGGCGCAACAAATCCGCCGCCGCCTTAGCAGTGGCATTGACTTCCGCCGTCTGTTGCGGTTCCAAAGTCAAGCCAGCGTGGAATTGGGAGAGCTCGGTCAGCCATGGTGGTGCCCGGGCGCATCAAGTCCGCCGCCGCCTTAACAGTGACATTGACTTCCGCCGTCTGTTACGGTTCCAAAGCCAAGCCAACGTGGAATGGGAGAGCTCGGTCACCCGCAGCTGGCAGCTCAGTATATTTCCTTATCATTGTACTAGCATTATATGTATAGATATGAGAATTTCATAAACGTGCTTACGCTTTAGGTTTACATGAGTGGTAAACCCTTAGATAAAATAAATTAATGTAATATTTAGTAGAAAATCAACAAAGTAACGAACCACTTATTCAACAGGTAGAAAACCTACTACAATGAACATACTAAAATTCCTGAGGCATCAAAGGAAGCTACTAAAATTCCTGAGGTATCAAAGGAAACTACTAAAATTCCTGAGGTATCAAAGGACCAAACAGGCATCTATTAGGTACCCGCTATTGAAAACGGCTAGCATGAACCGGGCTATACTAGGGTAGTGTGACGCATGTTTTATGGAAAATTTTACATTTCGAATTCGATATTGTGGGTAAGGTGACCACAAGGACCAGTTTGGGTTACGTTCTAGTGGAGGTCAGGTCAAGGTCATGTCAAAACGGTAAAATTTTTAAGTTGTTATTTTTGCATAAAAAGGGTGTATGCGATGCACCTCGTCTCGGGGAATCCAGTGGTGGTCTTTGTTTTAGGGGAGAGCAGGGTAAGACTCCCCCTTGGGAAAATGCAAACACTCGCTGCATAATCGCATCCACCATGGAGATGTGTGTGCATTAGAATAGACCACTATTTCTCTTTCTTTGCGAGCTGGAAATTGTGCATTATCACCTAACATGTAGTGAGCGACACATGTTTAAAAAAGTCTTGCAAATGGGCGTCTTACCCCACGGGGTGGGTAAGACGCCCCGGGGAGAGGCTCGTACCATATACTAACCTTATATACTCACTTATACTTGCCTTACTTACTTTATACTTACCTCACCTATACTAAACTTATAGTCGGAGTCGATTATGGTAGTAAAGCCGGAGCCGGAGTCGGAGCCACCGAAAATCCATCAACTAAGCAGCCATTCAAGGTCTGCCGAATCTGAGTCAGAGTTAGTCGATCGGAGTCGACAGTCGGAGCCCGGAGTTGGAGTCGAAGTTGCATTTTGGAAACCGGAGTCTGGGTCGGAATTGGAGGCTCGAAAAGGCATAGACTCTGCAGCCCTGACGCAGACAGTGAATTTTGTGGGGGTCTTATCCCTCAACTACCAAATGTCTTTGAGCTCCAATTCTTTCAAGAGATTCAATCGTGAGGCTCAAACTCGTTGCAACACGTAAAGCGCCTATATTCGCTATGTGCAAAATGCATATGGAACATAATTTAAAGGCCGGCTCCCAGTTATTACGAGATGGAAGACGATGAGATTTTTTATATCAGAACATGTCAAAACATAACAGTGCTCACCGCCTGCAAAAGACACCACCTCGGAACCGAAAATCTTGCCCCTATAAGTTAAAGGAAATAACAAACGTTGCAAGAACTTACAAATAAAATAACCCTGTTAGGTATATCGAAAAGGCGTCTTACCCCACCCGGGCGTCTTACCCCACTCTTCCCTACTCTAGGTGGTTCAGAACGGCAAAAAAATAAGTTCGAAAATTGACATAATCAATTTTGAGTAGTTTTTGTTGCCATAACTTTGCCAACAGTTAAGCTATTCAGCTGAAATTTGAAATGTAGATGAAGGACCATTAGTTCTATAACATATATCCCGGTTGACGGCTCTCCCGCAAAAAAAAACTTTATTGGGTCGAAAATTGTAGAACATGACGTCACTCTGATGTCATTTCTGGCCAACATATCGTAGGCTCTGGATTCATTTATTTATTTTTTGCCGCATGATATAAAATTGGTGCCCGGAAGGGATCTAAAAGTTTGGTGGCGATATCTGCAGTGCTTTAGGAGGTATCAACGGAAAAAGAGAGAGGGAGCGTTTCGCCCCCCCCCCCCTACGGGGCGCGGGTTGAGCTGAAGGACTAATAATAGCAATCGAAATGGAGGCCGCATCCTGCAGTGTGCATTACGCACCCCGCACACGGTCCTTTGGCGGCCATCATTGGCTGTGCACTGTGCAGTGAGCGTTGCTTGGAGCCTGGGCGTTCTGGAACTCCCTCATCGCCTGCCACCACCGAGCATTATCATGGTCCGTATTGACCGGCCATTCATGTTTCCATGGTCGTGGCTGCACACAGTGTGCAAGGCGTGACGCCATGACCGGACTGCAGCGGTGCACCCGACCATTACAGTAATGCAGAAGGCAATCAAACATTGACTGATTGCTAGCCTCTTCGGCCCAGAAACACCATTGCAAGCTCAGGTAATGATAGATTGGGGAACCATTGGGCTGAGGTGGCTACTGGCTACCAGTTCTCTCAGCAGTCCGACATTAGTTACTTTTTCTTGATGATGATAAGCCGGTGGCGCATTTGTGGAAAACCCGTAAGTTTAATGAGCTGTAAACAAAAAAAGCTGAATTCGTTCGGTGCTCGTTTGGAAATGGGCCACGCAAAACGTGTTTAAATGTAGTTTTGCATAAGCACGTACTATCAAAGGTAAGCTACCCGCGAGGGTCAAAGTCAAAATCGCCTGAATCGTGTCTTACTTAGGAAAGTTTAATTTTAAAAGTTGGTTACTTTTGATCGTTCTGTCTGATATTTGGTCTGGTATATCGAGCCTCAGACCGGGTGGGAGAGAGCCCACGGACGAGTGAACACGTCTGCACAGAGGCTGCTCGTCTGTTGTTGGCAGGTTTCCGAGTGCAGCCCGCTCCTGCCGAGGTGCACAGCAGAGACTACAGCAGCTTCGCGGCGCTCGAGTACAGTCTGGACGGCGACGCGTGGACCCTCTGCTGCAGCATGGAGACGGTCGGCGTCTCCCACTCGGTCAGTCGGGTGGCGCACACTCACCGTACCGTATAGGAAGAAAGCCGTCCTTCTGTGCAATCCTACGTAGATGACTTACCAGTGCCATTATGTATGTTATTTTGTGTAATTTGACAAATATTGGAACGTTGTGTTGGGCATTGTTAAAACGATTATTGAAAGGATGAAAAATAACCTGTTACTCATATCTAGAAGAATTAAAAAACACAATCTAATGATGACTTTAACGAGCGAGCAAAGCGAGTGAAGTCCCTATAGCATGATAGCAGAAATAACAGCGTAGAATAGTATATGAATACTGCATGGGGTAGCGGGCAACAGTAAAAGTTATTGCCCAATGTGACGTCAGTGTAGCCCGAGGGTGAGGGCATACCTCATGCAGTATTCATTTTATTACATGGCCCACCTCGTCTCGTATTACCTATTCATAGTAACTTTATTTATTATCGTTTAGCTGTATGACAAAACGGGTTAGCATAATAACACACAATTTGTTTGAATCTCAATGATGAATGTATTTCATGGCATCACACATTTCTCATCACATCACAACAAACACTTTCTGCTGGAGCCTGTCATTGGCGAGGAGTAGTTTTGCGTGTAAATATTCAGTTTTTCTCAGTCGCCTCGGCTTATCGGCTCCTTGTGGTCAACTGATCCTCGCCCATCCTTTTTAGACAAGTGCATTGCGACCTGGAAAGCCTCTGTAGGTACTCAAAGGAAAACTTCCTACTTCACTTGTCTTTTCCTAGTTGATTGATGATGAACTGTTTGATTCCGTACTTCAGTGAGTGTAGACTTTTCGTTTTTTTTCTTTCTCCATCTTTGCGCTTGACATTAGAGAAAAACTCCTTAGCAGTGTCGTCGAGAGTAGCATTACTGTACTGTAGGTCTTCCAGCGTTAGACCTTTAGCTGTTAAAAATTTCATGGAATATGTCTCCCGACGATTTTATCACCCTTTGCCTACCTTCAGCCCTGCGTGAAAAAAGGAGCTCATCTAATTCACTTGGTTCAAATAAATGAAAACGAGGCAGCGCTGTCATAACTACACATATAGGTACGTATGATCCTTCAGCAATGACGTCCACCAACTGAATGAGGATGAGGTGAAGAACCTAAACCCCCCTAAACCCTAAATTTCAAAATTCTGAATGTTTTTTTTTTTAAGCACGCGCAAAATACTGTTGCCCGTTGTCATGGTATCATTAACAAAAATACGTCATCCTTCAAAAGAAAATTAAACGTGAAAATTGCCGGTCAACAGTCAAAATTATTACACACCCAGTTAACCCTCGCCCGTATAGAGGGGGGGGGGGTCGAACGGACCCCGCTATGGTTTTTCGCAAATAACTCGCGTAAAAAGCGGCCGATCGCGACGAAACTTTCAGTACCCTCGCGTTCATCATTTTCACACCTACCCTGAAAATTTCATGACCCTGACCCAAATGACCTTTGACCTGTGACCTACTTTTCGAGACCATGTTTGGCTGGAATCGCGATTCGGCGTATGTCGGCTCGCATTAGCCGCGCGTTTGCAGTCTTTTCGTGGTTTCAAGCGTTCAAACATGTGATATGATGTTGCCCCTATGCATTAGGGTGGGTTTCAAGGTCACCTGAAGGTCAGGTCAGGTCATTGACCTTTGATGACCTCGGTTCACTTTTTCGAGTTTTACATGTTTCTAGGCCAATTTTTGGAGCTGAATTCGAATTTAGCAACCATATGAACATTTACGAAGTAGTTTTGGTGCTTTCGTAACATGTTACGAAGCTGGAGGCGGTTGCCACCTACTACGAATACTCTTACTGGTTGACCTGACCTGAACTGACCCGACCTGGCCTAAATACATGAAGACATCATCTGTGATCAAAACTAACATGATATTCGTGATCAACACCCCGAAAAACCCCATAGGAGCCACACTTTACGACGTTCTAACAGGCCCCTTTCCCGCCTTTGGGGTCATTGACCTGACCTGCAAGGTCAACCAATGACCTAGGACCTTAAAATTGGGTATCATCGGCTTCCTCTCGTCACGGGCAACACGCTCGTTTTTTCCGCGAAGCTCTAGCTCGATCAGGGGCGAAACGGCAAGGGGGTCCAACGGACCCCCCCCCCCCCCCTTATACGTTCGCGGCTGGAAAAACACCAATACGGGCGAGGGTTAACATACGAGCCATGTAATAACAGACATTTACTTATGTATATCCCCACAACTACCGAACCGATTTGCTTACTGTAATTTGTGTATGGTAGTTTCATTCCTACTACCAAGTATTGGACTATTCCCAATGCATGTGGGTGGCCCCTTATGCACTTACCACGTGCAAAACGAAGCGGTTTCAGTTTTGTAACAACCAGTATAACGCCTTTTGGGGCGACTAACGGAGCGAGCGAGAGGGTGGGCCTTGCACGTGCGAAATTGTGAGGGGGTACCTCCAACTGACTTGTGCACGGCACCCTACCAACCGGTCTCTAGCGGTGTGCCAAATTTGAGCACAATCAGCCCAGCCGTTCTCGAGATCTGGAAGTGGCACCCTGCACGTGCGCACGTGCAAAATGGGTCCCAACTGACTTGTGCACGGCACCTTACTAACTGCTCCGTAACCGTGTACCAAATTTGAGCGCAATCGGTCAAGCCGTTCTCGAGATCTGGAATCGACCCCTGCACGTGCGCACGTGCAGCAGCACCCCAACTCTGGCACATGGATATGCATTGCCTAGTGGGTCACTTACACTACCTACATGCCAACTTTCAGCGCAATCGGCCCAGTAGTTACCGAGATATATCAACTATTACAAAAGTGACACCAAGGCCGTATAGTGACACCTCTTCGCTTTGCACGTGGCACGTGCATAAGGGGTCACCCACATGCATCGGGAATAGAATAGTCCAATACTTGGAAAAAGGAATGAAGCTACCCTACAAAAGTTACCGCATGTAAATCGGTCAAGTGGTTGCTGAGATAGAAGACTCGCAAAACCGTGACCACGTCCGGCCGGCCGCCCATACTAAGAAATTTCCGTTAACTAAGGAAAGACTACGCTCGCCTCGCTCGCTCCGTAATTACAATATTTCGGTAATTGCTATGCTGATTGCGCTGAAACTTGGCTTATAAGTAGGCACCCACCAGGCAATGCATCTCCATATGTCACGGTTGGGGTGCTGCTGGACGTGCGCAGTGCGCACGTGGAGGGGTCGCTTCCCATGCCAGAGGAACATGTGACCTCAAAATCATAAGGAAAAGTGCCATTAGAAACTGTCTATTTAGTCCTGCACTAGGGTTACCCGCGTGCTCCGCAACGCGAAGGGGGGATTTTTTGACCCGTGGGTATTGGGTTAGTCTGTGTCGATTTGGTTGGTAGATATCCATTTCGTTCGATTGCTTTTTGACGGCCAAGCATTTTGTAAGAAAACAAAAAGATACATCGCATCGAGGTGCCCGTGTCGTATTATCATGCGTTCTACTTTAGAATGTAGAAAAGTATGTATAAATAACCTTATGCTCATTCTTTGCACTTTTTTGTTGAAATTGAATAATTAAACAAAATCATTGATATATTTCGGCTTGCGCCATCTTCAGAATGTACAGAAACAATTGTCGACACAAACAAACAAAATTCGATTCCATCAATCAATAAATCGTGCAGCGCTTCAATCAGCTCCTTGATGAGAGAATAATTTCATATATACATGGCTCTCGAAATAACGATGCGCCGTCCATGATATCTACGATACATGTACAATATACAACACACAAGATCAATATACAATATACAAAATAACAACATAGAATCTGCATGAATCATCACATTGTTTGGCGCAGCCTAAATCAACGGCACAATCAGACAGTAGTTGTCACAATCAATTTGTGGATATGTATGTACAATATAGTTATGTGGGGGTGTACGATGGACGCTGCAGAAGTGGCCAGGATGAAGTTTGGGTGTTCAAACATGGTTTTTGGTTCCTTATTTCCACTGATTCGGATATTTTTAAATCAGCGACGTCTTTACACACTCTTTCAATGGAGATTTTGAATGACGATGATGTGATTGTACATGATGGGTGTCTTTGGGTAACGTGATCCCCAAGAGGGGTGTTTTTTGCCTTGTTCTTAGCGTCACGAAAGTGTTCATTGAATCTGTCACGGATGCGCCTTTTTGTTTCGCCAATGTAAATAGTACTTTCATTGTCACAAAGATTACATGTAATTTTGTAGACGGCATTTTTGATGTGACAGCGGCCTGGGAGCCCTGCTTCGCATGTGGCACAGCGTTTGGCACCAGCAGGGCACGGGGGGCTTTCCAGCGCTGACCTCACGATGTGTTTGGCCACCGTTTTCCCACTGGTCCACGCGATACGTGCCTGTACGCCACATGAGCGCACTACCCCGTTGACTCGTCGTGCAAGGGTCTCGTCTATGTAGGGGAGAGATATGTAAGTCGTGTCGGTGTCTCGTTGCTTAGTGTTTCGTCTTTTTGATCTTTGTCTGTGATACATGATTTTGTGTTTAGTGCTTTGAATGAGTCTGTTCGGGTATCCATTGTGTCTGAACAGTGATTCCATGAGTCCCATGCCCCGTTCTTGTGCTTGTCTATCAGAACCTAGTCGTTTGGCGCGTAGAAGCTGAGAGTGTAGTACAGAGCGTTTGCATTGCATCGGGTGTGCTGACGTGTAGTGAATGATGATGGGGGCTGTCATAGGTTTGATGTAGAGCTCAGTGCTGTAAGAGCCGTCTTCTTTCACTCTGATCATGGTGTCAAGGTATGGTATGCATCTGTTTGGAGTTTGGTCGGTCCTCTCTATCGTGAACTTTAGGGCTGGGTGAAAGTCGTTGAGGAATCGGAAGTATTCGTCTAGTTTGTCCGGTCCGTGTGTCCAAATACCGAGAATGTCGTCGATATATCTCATGTACGTCATAGGCTGATACTTTGAATTTGGAGAGGTGAGTATCATCGATTCTACTGCGTCCATGAACATAATGGCTAGCGGTGGGGCGATCCTGGATCCCATCGCCACTCCCTCTGTCTGTTTGAAGTATTTTTGACCAAATCGAATGTAGTTGTTGCTGAGACAATGTCTAAGGAGGGAGTCGATGTCCTTTACAGTGAGTCCACAAGTGTCAATATCGTCCAAGTGTCTGTTCATAAGATTCAAGGTAGCTGTGATTGCCTCGTGGGTGGGAATATTTCCGTAGAGGTT